GTCTGCCGTCTTCACAAGCAGGCCAGTCACGCAAGCACAAGGCAGTGCTTCCTTGGATTGCTCTACTTCAAACTTCAGCAACACCACCTTGGTTAAATTCTGCCCATCAGGAGCCACCAAGATTACCAGAAAGAGTCACAATTTCACAGGTGTATTATCTGGCTGGTACAGGGACCCAGGAACCGTACAATAACCCCAAGCCAGGGGAGAAGAGCATCGGCGGAAAGGTTCACATTAGCAAACTGGCACCAACATTTGAGCAATCTCTCCCCTTGGGGAAATCCGATGCTTCTTTGCTGGCTAGCTAGATATTTATTTATCTATCTACCTACCTATTTATTTATTGATGGGGTCTTGCTACGTTGACCAGGCTGGTCTCAAACTCCTGGGCTCAAGCAGTTCTCCTGCCTCAGCCTCCTGAGTATCTGAGACTACAGGCATGCACCACCATGCCCGGCTAATACTGCTTTTCATAATCATGTCATAAACCAAATCTCATCTATCCCGTGAAGACTTAAAATTTCAGTCCGGCCCGCATCTGCTTGCCCACGAAAGCAGACACTTACCCCATTTTGGCGACAAAGGAGAACCAAGAGTTGCCACAGTAGAGCAGAGTCTCTGCTCCCCAGCGTCTCAGATTTGCGGCTCTGAGCTGCTTTCTGCTGGCAAAACATCATGACATCCACCTTGTGTACATCCTCCCTACGGAAAAGCACCAGGGAGCAAAGACTGAGCGGGCAGCTCAGTCCCCTGTTCGGGACGCCGGGCTCCTCCCACAGAGAGCGGGTGCTGGCCGGGCGGGGGTGAGACAGGCGCGGACGGCCGGGCTGGGTTGTAAGTCTGCAGCTACAGGATAGTTATTTCCTTGTGGAACAGGAGGGGACTTCAGAGATTCTCTCGTACACCCCCTCCACTTTACAGATGAGGAAATCGAGGCCCAGAGACCTGAAGTCACTGCGTGGGACAGCAGGCGAGAGCACAGACTTTGGAGTCCGACCACCTGGGTCTGAGTCCGAGCCTGCCGTGTCTCAGTGAGGCCAGTTCCTCACCGCCTCTGAGCCTCAGCTCTTCCCCTGAAATAGGGGCAACAAAAGAACCCACCTCCATGCAAAGAGGAATTAGCACATCGTGGCATATATTAAGTGCTCGATAAACTGGCAATGCTTTTTGCTTGAGATCATCCAATAAAAACAAAGCCAAGTGGGGGCCCACACCCCAATGCCCAGCTCAGCTCTCTATCCCACACCTGTGTACCTGCGTGTAAGGAATAGAGACCATGCTCATTCTTACGTGAAAAAGCTGCCCGTTGCCACATGGGGACTTTCTCGGAGGGGGAGCTTCATGATGAGAACACGTGTGTAGAGCAGCGATAATATTTAAAAGGTTTGCACGTGTATAACATCACGTGAGACCCACAGCCAAGCCCGGAGTAGAGTAAGTGGCTGTTATACCTCTTCTCGGAGGGAAAACTAGGCTCAGAGAGGGCTAAACGACCTGTCCACCATGGTGCCACTGGTCAGTAGGATGCCTGGGCCTGGGACCCAGGTCCTCTGTCCCCTGGCCAGGCCTCCTCTCAGCAAAAGTGCCCTGAAGGTCGGAAGTACGACCAGGAATTTAAAAGCAGTTCCGGATAAGTCCTGCAGAGGGCAGACGAGCACGCTGTTGAGTAACTCGAACACCGCAATGTTATTTCTCTGCAGAAAAAAGCCACTGTTGCAAGAATTTTTTCCACTATGATCCACTTGTCTGTGAATTCCCAGGCTGTGCTCCACGTACCTACTAATATCTATCAAGTGCACAGAGCACTCAAAGTTGCTACCACGTAACCTCTGCAAAATGGAACTCATTTTAAACCTCTAAACTGTTAGCTAATTTTTCTTTCTGTCCTTCGACTATTGGATGCCTTGACAAAATGGCTCAGGGCAAATTTGGTTCTATCTTGCAGCCCAGAGAATTCTGCTCCAACAAGGACAGACATTTTCTTCCACCGAAACAAAGAACAAATCCCCCCAAAATGCTGATCTGGGCAAGAGGATGTTCTAGGTTTCAAAAGCCCGTGCTCACACCTCTTGTTTACCTGATCAGGGGTCCTGAGAAAATCCTCATCTCCTCTTGCTCTTCCGAATCATTAAGAATAATCTGGAACAAAAAATTAGATTTGGTCTTTAAGACAATGGCCCGTTCAATCGAGTCCAGCATCAGACCCCTGGGCCGAGGTCCTAGGACGTGGCCTTGTGGAGGGAGCAGGACGAGAGTGACTCATCTTGCTAAGAGGAACCACTAGCCTCTCGGGAAAACGAGTCTAGCATCACTTCCTTCGGAGCAGAGCACCATCCGGTCCCGCGCCTCCCCCAGTCCAGGAGGCGGACGGCCCAGTCCCCGCAAGAGCACCCCATCCTGGAGACGCTGGGGCTCGGGCAAAGGGAAGCAGGTGAGCGAGGGAGGAAGAGCAGGCGCACGGGAGCCTGTTTACCTCCACGCTGCGCAGGTCAACAAGCGCCACCTGCCCGTCAGCCGGCGAGCTGGGAACCACGCACACCAGCTGACCTCCTGCTCCGAAACTCACAGGCACGTGAGGGACATAGAACTTCATGGGTGCTTTGGGCCCCGCTGCGGAGACATCCTCTGACCAACAGACACAGAGGGACACTGTTAGCGTTACTTCCGCTGTTTTCCTTTAGTTTAGAAATACGCCGCAGACATCCTTCTGCCCAAATTCCACCTTGGGACCGAGATAAGGTTCTGAGTGGGCTCCACGGTCAGAAGCAGCCCGTGCTCCACGCTCCAGCGGGACGGAAGCATCTGAGAATGCGTCAGAACCTAACGCCTGGGTCCGATGGCTCGGTCCGAGTGATAATGCACCCAGCCCAGGCTCTCGGTGTCAGCGAGAGGCCAAGGAGTCTCCGGCTCCTGTAGCCTCTACACTCACAACACGTCCAGACAAAGCAGTTACGCTCTGTGTCCTACTTCGCTTTTCCTAATTCTCTCTGGTCTTTACTTTCTTCACCTGCTGCTTACAAGCACCTCTGAGCGCCTCCTCTCCCAGCCTGCTGATGGCTGGGGGCCGCGTTCCCTTCCAAGAACCAGCTGTGAGGATTCTCCATTACAAGCAAAAAGGTAGGAAACAGCCAGAACTGGCCTCTCCACCTAGGAGACCTACACAGGCAAGTCAGGCAAACAGTGACCCGTTCTTGGAGACACAGGGTAAGGAGACTTTCCCAGGGACGGGCCGCCGGGCCTGCCTCACCAGACTCAGCCGACTCCTGTGATCATTTTAGTACCCACCGGCCGGAATGGGGCTCCAAGCTGCCGAAGCCACAGAATCATACTGCTCAGCGTCTGCCATGTACTGGCTGAGCTCATAGCTGCTGGAGCTGAGGCCAGACTCGTGCTGCCGGAGGAGGCTGGACTCGCCGGTCAACAGTGGCTGAAAGTCGAAAACAAGGCAGACACGTGGGAGTGAGTTTCAGAGGGCTGGTCCTTCAAGAAACAAAATTCAAACTTCCCAATACGTAGCGTGAACGTGGATGTGTTGAAAGGAGAAGAAGGAATAGTTTAGTTGACAGGTGTTTGCCAAGGGATGTATCATGGCCCCGTGGAGAGTGCAGGCCCTAGGGTTGGGGGCCTTGGCTTCAAACCTTGGCTCTGTCTAATAAGCAGCTGCTGTGACCTTGGACAAGTGACTCAGGCTCCCTGAGCTCAACACCCTCATCACATCTGCCCTATACACTTCAAGTACTTACGTATTCACTCACCAACTATTTAATGAGCACCTATTATGCTCCAGGGGCTGAGTTTTCCTTTGGGATGCAGGTGT